TTTAATTGTGTGTGCTTGCCAGGAAATGGAACTAGCAAATGTTTAGGGTTTTCTAGAAAATTTTTTCGTAAACATTTTAATGATTCGAATTTTAGACGAAACGTTATCCAAACTATCTTGCCTTAAAATTTCTTCACCGACAGAATATTTCCTTTTTGCGTATGCTTCAAAAAAACCATTACAAAGTGAGTTTTCCATTTTCTTAAATTCTCTTCCAGAATCGACTGAACATTTCGGGCTTATGAATTTCGTGAGATAATTGGAAGAATGCAAAGATATGTTTATGCAAACATAAAGAATCTAAACTGGAAAAAACATCACTGAGAAGGATTAACTTTTCAGTATAACGGTCATCCTGTTGCCCTTATCCAGAAATTTGAGCTTGACAGAAATTCCTGAAGAATAATTAATCAGCAGATAATCAGCACCAGCCACATTCCCAAATCACGTCTGTTTCTTGAAGGCTTGAAACCTGTTCTCTCATTCAACTCCCGGATTCCCTATCGACCTTGTTCTTTTATCATTCGATCTAATCTTCCTTCCGTTCACTTTCAATTATCGTGTAAATATTCCATTTAACTTTCACTGATATCGTCAATAATCACTTGATGTTGCATTCGATACAATCATTCGATTCCACAAAGGAATATTTCTTTGTTTTATGAATTCCGGGAAGATTCATATCAGATATCCTTCTTCCCAATATAAATAGAAGATTTCTCTTCCAAATTTGCTTCATTAAATTTCAATTTAAATTTTAGAACCTTTCCTCACATATCCAAGATATCATAATTTTCTGGCTAAAATCAACATAATCAATTATGGGTTTGAGGGCTGTTCCATCGTGAAATATTTCTTTTTTAAATCTGAAAGATCCTAAATACCTCTTTTATCTTTCAGTTTTTCCTTGCCTCTTTTAAACTACCTTTGGTAGTTCTTTTTTTCTTGGAAATTTTTATGGAAATTTGTAAAAATTTCTATCACTGCGTACGAAACCAATTTCAGATTGTCGGTATCAATGCATCTTATCAGTCCTTTTTTATTGGTTATATGCGCTGTTTTCATGATCCAAGTAAGCTTCCTCGTGGATTCTTCAATGTTAGAAACAGAATGATTGAAAGCAGCTTAAAATGACTGCGTAAATTTTTTTTCCAGGCTTGTCCATCGCAAACAGGACCGAGAGGACCAGACGGAGTGGATGGGAAGGACGGGGAGATGGGACCGCCAGGACCCGTGGGGCCTCGAGGAGAGACAGGACCGATTGGAAGACAAGGAGATCCAGGACCGAAAGGTAGGCCTGGAGTACAAGGACCGATGGGGCCACCTGGTAAACAGGGAGAGCAAGGTGCAGTAGGACCAGAAGGAAAACCAAAGGGATAGGAGCAATAGACAATGGAATTTGTCGCAATCCTTCTCAGTGATACCTGTTCTCTTATTCTGGTTGTTTTGTCTTTTCCATTATGTCACAAAATTCATAGACTTGAAATCATACGCGATGCCTTAGCAGAATATGTTTGAAATTTGGAATTTGAAATTTGAATTTTACGAATTAAATCTTTTGTTACATATTCAAATCGCAAATTATCACTTTGGATGAAATCTCATGAGTCATTCTTCTGAATTGTTTTTGGAACTAAATGAAAATTTTTGAAACAGTTCAAACACATCTTTTAATGTCTGTATCTTTTAATGTCTGTAACGTTTGGTATCCCGAATGATTTCAGGTTACGAATTTATGCAAGCGAAGACATTTTGCAGTAATTACTGTGTAAAGTGTTTTATTTTGCTTTTCTCTTTTGATGACGAGAAGTTATACTAGCAAATGTATAAAGTGATCCGGATCTGATCCAAGATCGGATACAGTTCGCATAAACCATTGTTGTCATAATTTTAGAAACGTTAAGTATGAGGCCGATGATGAAATATTTTTAAAATAATAGAATATGTGACAGTGTAAAAATTTGATGGCTTAATGACATTTTGTGCTTCCGGAATGTTATTGCGGAAAGGATAAATGATGATTAGCAATATTGACCTTAGGGGACTAATGCTGAAAATGAAGGAGGAAGGAGGTGCTAATTAAACGAANGTAAGCAAAGAAGCAATATGTGATAATGAAATCGAAGGAATGAAAAGAAAAAACGAAGTACGCTTAAGCTATGATAAGTTTTGATTGCAA